TCACAGCAATCGTTTCAATCAGGTAGTGATGCAATTGGCATTTGGCCTCAATTCTCAATGAGCGGCAATGAACAATTTGACCCGTCTTCGCCCTTTGAGCAACTGCAACAACACCAACCTCCTTACAAGAGGGCCAAGAATTCTTCTGATGATGACAACAGCCAGCCTGCAAGTTCAAGGATGCCGATGCCACCACCGAGCAACCTTCCTATCAACCGAGGGACGACTAACATCTTCTTCAAGACTAGAATGTGCGCTAAGTTTAAGACTGGGACCTGTAGGAATGGAGAGAATTGCAATTTTGCTCATGGGATGCAGGATTTGAGGCAGCCCCCTCCCAATTGGCAAGAGCTAGTTGGGGTTAGTGGTGGTGGTGGTGGACGGGTTGAAGAGGATAATAGTAGGCAGCCGCCGGTTGTGAATTGGGAGGATGATCAGAGGATAATTCTTAAGATGAAATTGTGTAAGAAGTTTTGTAATGGGGAGGAGTGTCCGTATGGGGATAGGTGCAATTTCCTGCACGAGGAGCCTGCGAAGTTTAGGAGTGATGCAGGCGGGAGGTTTAGGGAGAGTGCTGCAATAAGCATTGGGACTACTGGGATGCCTACTATGAATGGAAGTGGTGGTGGTGGATATGCTCTGCCTGAAGCTGTTAGGCCTGCTCAGAATGCTGCTGCTGGTTCAGATGCTCTTAGGGCCATGATGATGAAGCCTGTGTACTGGAAGACCAAATTGTGCTCTAAATTTGAGATCACAGGTCATTGCCCCTTTGGTGAGAAATGCCACTTTGCTCATGGACTAGCAGGTATTCAGTTTAGTTTATTGATTGGTGTCTTAACTCGTAATATTCTAGCAGTTTCATTGTTATTTATTCTAAATTTGTTACTTGTGTCAACAGCCTATTCATTTTGCATGTTAACAGTAGTGTTAACGATATATTAGTTCAATTGTATGCTATTGCAAATTTCATTGTACCAAACACACCCAACCAGACGACTTGTCTGTCAATTTGGAATCTAAGTGGCTAGAGAATGGTGTTTAATAGTCTTGCATGATTTTGGAGCTGAACCAAACTAAAGGCTTCCTACATTCTAATCTCTCAAGAACATGTTTACTTTTTTGAAGAAAGGACATCCACATAATGAACTGAACCAGTACTAGTGTACCACTATAGCCATACATGCTCTAGCTCAGATTCTTTTCAGTACTAGAAAATCTCATGTCTTCGCTTTCCAAATCAAATATGGAAGGACATTTGAGTCTCACCTCTGATTCTGTTTGTTGACAACTTGAGGGGGATGATTTGATCGTTACCTTTAGTTGATACTGCGACCTTTGTGTTGAAAGCAGAATTACAAGCTCATGGCGGACGGCTAGATGGGGAACCAGTGAATCAGGGCTCCATTTTAACAAAGCAGTCGTCTGTTCTTGGCAACGGCAATCCATCCCCAAGCATTGCAGCAAGCATGGCTAACTCTGTTGAAGACTCGCAGGGTAGGAAGAAGTGCCTGCTCAAGTGGAAAGACCCAAAGAAGCTCAACAACATTTATGGTGACTGGCTCGAGGATCAGCCATTAATACTGAACTTGACAAACGTGGAGGGCTGAGAGCGCTTCTGATTTGCTTCGTCGTGAGATTCTTTTGATGATTTGATTTGCTTGCATTGCCTGCAATTTTTTATTGAAGATTTTGGTTCAGTAGCATACTTAGAGGTTCTTTCTACCAATGGCCATAGGGAAGAGTTGTTTTAGTTTTTTTCCGGCTAGATTAGAACTTCTCTTTTCCTTTCTGTTCAAATCGAAGAGGAGGAAAGAAGAAGGAGAAGAAGAGGGATTGCATTGATTCCTTTGTTTGTTCTCTAGCTATATTCGTTTGATGTTATGCTGATGCAGGAATTTGCAGTCGGCCCCTTTGCAAGGAAAGGGTTGAAATAGGCGTTTCCATATTTTTCTTGTTTGGTCTCCCTCATTGTTTTTCACTTTTCAGTTTTCACATATAGACTTTGCAAAAACTGGCAATTTTTGTAATTTGTCTTGTAATTTCTTTGCAAGACATTTCAGAATGCAAACGCAGTGAAAAAACTTATGTGGTGCCTGAACTTTGTCCATGATATCTTGTGCATTGTAAGTTCATGCTGCTATGCACTACAGAAAGACTTTTAGACTTGGTCATGAATCATGATTGTAGCTTAATCGATCTTATGACTTCTTAACTTAATTGTATGTATGACAGCTCCTATTGATCAATTAAATTCGGTGTCACATTAACTATTGAGTTTAATGGAGAACTTCGTGAGTTGTCCTAAGAGCCATATTGGTCATTTTCAGTATTTGCTTAGCTTTAAATGTTCGGGTCAGTATGGCTGAAAGAGTTGAATTTTGGGTATGGAGAAGGAGAAGTCGACGAGGAAGGCATGGAAGTTTTGGATGAGGAGGACGGAGACAGGGACAGATGTCGGCAACCTACCCGCGGGCCGCGGCTCGCCTTTCCTGAGTCACCACCATAGCCAAACAAAGCTCCAACCTTTTTCGTCCACATTCAACCCGAAACCCAGCTAATGACACAGCAATTTATAATCGAGCCATGCTCCTTTCCCTATTCCCTTCTTCTTCTTCTCCACCCAACTGTGCTTTCATTTCCTCTCTTCTTCTGAACCCCCGACGAACTTCCCCTGCTTCTCCCTTCTTTCTCAGAGCAGCCACAACCAGAGCTATCTCCTTGTGCTTTACAACCACCAGCACCACCATGTCCGTTAACTTGCAAACACACGCCTTCGCCGGCAACCCTCTGAGATCCACAATTCCCAAGCCCGGCGACCCGTTTTCCCCATCCTCCGCCCTCGAAACCCTCAAGAGCCGGCTCATGGAGAGTGCTAGTAGTAATCACAGCCAGTTGCTTTCTCCTAGTTTCCAGGTTCTGCCCTTCAGAAAGGGCAGGCCTCTGGCTTCTTCCGTCGATGGGGACGGTGCTTCGGGGCGGAATTGGCATCTGGGCTGGATTGGTCTTGCTGATTGCAGAAGGTTTCTGGCCAAGTCTGGTGTTGAATTGACCGCCGAGAGCTTGGTGTTTCTGGGTTTCATGCCTGATGAGGATGTGGTTTACTGGGCAATTGATGTTTCTAGCGAGAGTAGTTTGGTTCCTGAATTTGGCGGGAAGCGGCTCTGTTTTGTGGAGTTGAGGACTCTCATGGTGGCTGCTGATTGGACTGATGATCGAGTCATGGCGGATTTGGCCATTGCTGGTCATGTAAGTCTGTGTTTTTACCCCCCCCCCCCCCCCCCCTGCAGTAATTTGCTTATTGTTGATGCTATGTGGTAAAGATGAAAGGATGATCTTGTGAATGTACTATCTTGGGTTATTTTAGTGACCAGTCTGCTGTGCCTGCCGATTTTTACAGACATATCTTGGCTGTTTGATTTTCTGTTGTTTAGGCAAGAGCATTGCTAGAATGGCATAAGCTAAGTCGTTTTTGTGGATCATGTGGAGCAAATACTGTCCCTGCCGAAGCTGGCAGAAGGAAACAGTGCTCCAATGAGACATGTAAGGCGAGGGTGTATCCTCGTATTGATCCGGTAATTTTCATGCTTCCATTGTCTTCCTGTGATTCTTAGTTCGCTTTGATTGGTGAGTGCATACCCTTCTAAGCCTTCTTGGCTGACTCTTATACAGGTTGTGATCATGTTGGTTATCGACAAAGAGAATGATCGAGTCCTTTTGAGCAGACAATCGAGATTTGTACCTCGAATGTGGAGTTGCTTAGCTGGGTTTATAGAGGTATGAGGGCAGAAGTTTGAAATTGTTCCCTTCGTGGGAATTGTAGTTCAGTTGCGTGACTTCTGTGTTTTGGGAATTCTTGTTCAGCCTGGAGAAAGCTTAGAGGAAGCTGTGAGGAGAGAAACTTTTGAAGAGGCTGGAATTGAAGTAGGAGAAGTTGTGTATCATAGCTCTCAGCCATGGCCTGGTATCTTTTCATCTGTTCTTTACATCATTGCCCGTTGATTGTATTATGATTGTGGAAAGATGGGAACTTTGTAGAAGGAAACAGGATTAGTTGCTTGTTTCTGAATCAGAACATAGAGAACTTGGCAACCTTTCATAAGTGCCCTTATTTCAAAACCAAGCATTGTTGAGACTTGAGAGTTCTATTTCCTACCATTGATTCGAATCTGTACGGATGCATAAAGTTTCTAACCTGCACTTCTCACCTCTCTTTTCTCTGTAGGCTGCTAATGTTTTATTGCTATTGTTGTTTCTTTTCAGTTGGCCCAAACAGCATGCCATGCCAACTGATGGTAGGTTTCTTTGCTTACGCAAAAACACTGGAAATCAATGTTGATAAAACAGAGTTAGAAGGTAACCAAAAACCATTTTTCGTGCCTCTTTGTTCAACCTTGCTCTTCCCTCATGAAAAGAAAGAAAGCTCACTGATGCATATGTAGATGGGATCTTTTTGGTTGGCAAATGGATGCATATATGTGTCTTTGAAATGAGAGTGATATTGAATTTTGCCATGTTGCTGTGTTGTGTAGATGCGAAATGGCTCAGTCGAGAAGACGTGCAGAAGGCACTGTCTTTAGCAGAGTACAAGAAAGCACAAACAACAGCAGCAGCCAAAGTAGAGCAGATGTGCAAGGGCGTCGAGAAAGGTCAGAGCTTGTCTGCAGATTTCAATGTAGAAAGCGGCGAACTCGCTCCTATGTTCTTCCCTGGCCCTTCCGCAATCGCTCATCACCTCATCTCTTCGTGGGTCCACGGCCAGACAACAATCGGCGGTGGTGGGAGACAAATCAGTACTTCTCTCTCAAATCTATAGCTCCTCTACTCATCATCCCCAGAAAACATCACCAAACCCCGGCTGTGTCTAGTGTATATTATAGCACCTCTCCAGTAATGCTTTGCAAAAGTGCAGAAAGTATCAACACCCCCTTTGTTTTTCGATTTGGGATGATGATGCTTTCTGGAACAACAACTTGAGTGTATTCGATTGATCAAGAAGTTGATTATCAGACTGTACCAACTGTGATCAACCAGTCGAATCAAAATGGTTTGTGTATGTTTATATGTTCATTCATATAGCAGGAGGAACCCCATTTTACTAGTAGCTAGAATGATCATCGGCGCGCATCTGCCCTTTCAATCTCGCCCAACTCAAGACTGCCCTTGCCAAGGCATCCACGGGTATCATACACTTCTTGAGAAGAGGATCCTTATCCGGCAAAATCCCTTGAATCTCATCAGAAGCAAGAATTACAATGTTCACTCCCCTCACCAGAAGTATCTGAATTGCTATTCTCAACAAGATCTGAGCTCCCTCCATGTCCCCCTTGCTCAATGCTTCAATCCCAGGTATCAAAATGTGATTCACTGTCGCCTTATCAGGCACCACAGCTTCAAACCCCTGGAAGAAAATTCAATATTTGTCACGATGCTGCAAAATTTCCTCCTATATACACCAAACCAGAAGAACTTTTACCTGTTTCTGCAACATCTCCTGGTAAAAACCAGCTTCAAGAACTGCATACGTGGCAAGCACACCAATCCTGACGGCAGTCCCGCCGACGATCGGCTTCAAATTAGCATCCCTCAGCTCGCCGGCGACACAGTTGCCGAAATGGAAAAAAGGCAGGGGACATCCTTCTGATATCTCACCGTACCAATGATGAGACACGTGGCATGGCATAACCAGGCAGTGAACTCCTGATTGCTCCAAGAACATCCTCTTTCCACGCAAGTTGTCGACGATCACCGGACTGCTACAATTGGGCCGCAGCCCAATCAATGTTGGATCGTAGCTGAGAAGGAACGGCGGGCAATCTTCGGATTCTCTCGAGCTCATCCAAGCTAGCTTTTCTAAGAAAGTGAGAGCAGAGTAAACAGAGACTCCAGCAATGATCCCTACTGTATTCTTCCGGTGACTCATTGGTAGGTGAAGAGCTTGATTCCTCGTCGCAGAGGATCCTGCGCCGGCGATTCTCCTCGAGAGAAGCGAACTTCTGGATTCCATGTCAGGCTGGAGAAACATTCTGCAGATCAGAAATTGCGAAGAACCCAGATTCTGGTACATCGCAAGATCCAACATTTCCTCCGAAATTTCGAAACCCGAATCAAACCCAGATCAGGAAATGGGAAATCCTGATCATGGGTTCTTGAGAGTTTGGTAACTGGTAAGCAAAAATTCTGCAAAGGTGAGAACTTTTTAAGACTTGAGAAGCGCCATTGGAGGAAAGTGGTGGTACGATTTTGGGATCGAGCGGAAGGGGATTAATGATGTTGCCAACTATGCTTCTGGAATTTGCATTCATAAACCAGACAGAATCATATGATGATAACGTTAATTAATGAAACCTGGCCATGTGAGGACAAAGAATCTAGTTTCCAACAGCTGTGGGTGTGGGATTGGGGTGTTTGGTATCTTTCGATTCATCACTGTCTCGCTGACAGGAAAGGGAAGATATGGAAGAGGTGATTGATTGATTGGGTGGGGGAAAGGACAGAAGTGAACGGTGTCTATTGCCCAGTGGCTGGGAAATTTTGTCTTCCTCCATGTGAATCTCTTTTGCACCCCATATCCGACAAAGATACCAAATTTGGAAACTGTAAAATATTCTATGTTATGCTCTTTCTTTAACTGTGAACCTTTCATCCCAAGGTGATAAGTTTCTCCTCTTGTCTCTCACTGTTACTGCAGTCAGATACAAACCCAGATTTCTGTGGATAATCAGCAAATTCTTGGAAGAAAAACAGATAGAATCTTTGTCTAGATGTTTCTAATCAGTTGACTCTGAAGTTCGTATCTTTTTTTTTTGCATTTTTACCGCGTATCATTTTGACTTTGAAACTACCTCAATCATTATGAATGTCTGGCAAACTCATAAGCGGAGTAATTTGGATTTGGCAATCTTATTGATGACTACCAATAGATTTGTGAGAGCTACAAAATCCCAAAGTGCAAAACCATCAGAGTGGTGGTGACTGGTGTGAGCTTGATCTTTTGTTATTTTCTCATGTTCCTTCATTTATCTTCTTGGAAATTACAATGATGCTTACTTGGAAGAAAACCTAGGATATCACTTATCAAATGATAGCAACATGGAACTTTGTCCTGGGGGACAGGTGGTGAGCTTTTGGGGTTAGGTTAACTACATACGCAATCTTTGAACTTCGGGATAACTAACAAATCAGTCACTTAACTTTGTCACGATGAAACAAACTCACTACTAAAATTCAGACTATCTAATTTATTCACACACCAATGTGCAAGTTCGCCTAAAGTAACTAAGGGAATGTTCAAATGAGATGCTCAATAGTTAATATTTTACACGAGGTAAACAATATTCAAGAGGTATATTTATTCGAAAATTGACTACACAGCTACCGTTTGACGAATTAGTGAAGATGAAACTCGAGCTACCGATTTGTTAGCTACAATAAAATTTTGGTGGTTATTGCTATAATAAACTTTGAATTATTTGCGACAACAACCCTTAATGCAATTTTTCCAACCAACATCAGCATCAAAATCAAATCAAATCAAATTTCCATTGAGCCAGAAAATTAACTCATATTGCAGAACTTGGTCCACGTGTGGATGTGCTATCTACTAGCTTGGCCCAATCAAAGCCGTAATTATCCAAAACCAAAACAATATTAAGGAATTGTTCCACTCAAAATTTAGTGGAACTTTTTAATTGGATGTGAATCTAAGGTATCTTTCATTCACAATCAATCGAGCTAGCTTTAGAAAGGTTTCTACCAAATGCATAATGCTTAGCAGTACGTAAGATCATTAGATCAACAACATAAATTATGAAATCCGAATTAAGAGTGAATCTTCTCAACTAGCTTAGTAATCCACATATTTCTATAAATATTTATTTTTAAATCGAGTTTTTAACTTGCAAACCTTTTTCAATAAAACCCCCAAGCTCCATATACTCCTTGAAATTTCAATAAAGCTGTCCAATTCATGACAACACGAGCTTTTTCAATAGTACTTTGGACTTAACGACAATAAAATCGCATTGGAGGTTATATCGGAAATGTTAATAGTAAAATATTTTGTTTCGAAATCGTAGTCCAACCGTTTCATACCACTTAAATCGATTACCAATTCAGACTCCAACAAAAGATTTTTTTTAATCGGATCAATGGTACATACGGTTTTGCAAACACCGGTTCAACTTTAAAGAAAATCAAATTTGGTACTGGGCTGAGTTTGAAACCAAATCTGCGGCAAGAAGTGTCAAAGCCCAAATTGATCTTCAAGCGATACGGGCTGAAGCCCACCCAAACGGACCCAACAAAACGAGCACACGCTAATGCTCATGGACACGACCGCAGCTTATTATTATTTCGGAGAAGACTCCGGACTCCGGAGTAGTAAAACGATTACTCCGAGCCTGTGATTGCTTCACTCCACTCCCGTTCAGTTCTGCTTTATTCTCATTTCCGATCTTCCCATCACCAAGGAAAATGGCGGCCACGCTCTTCCGTCGGCTGGCGAGAGCCGCCGTCCCTACTGCTGCCTCTCCTGGCGGAGGATCAGGAGGAGGAGGAGGAGGCTATTCCCGGTCAATGTTCAGTAGGTTCGGTTTCCCCCTCGGCGCGATTGCGGCCGTTTCTGGAATCTCATACATCGGCAGTGGCGACGCTTCTCCTTCGTTGACGCTTCATGGATTGGTGTGTATCTGTTATGATCGGAGCTATGAACTCGTTCATGCTTAAATTGGGAACCTGTAGTCGTTAATTTGTGGGATCAGGGTTTATTCGTAGGGTTTACAGTGAAAATGTTTTGCTGGAACTTGCTCTTTATCTTGCGGTCCATTTCCAGGCTGTGGTTTAGTCAGTTGGTGTTCTAAATCGGGAACTTATGTCTTCGCACTTAATGATAGGTTCACCTGGAGGAAGCGAAAGAAGAGGATGGTCCGAAAGTTGGTAAGCCTTTCTTCTCCTTCTTGTTTATTGTCATTGTAGGGTATGGTTTGATTAATGAGCAAGAGATGATCTGTAGTCAACTAATGAATAATGAGAGCTCACTGCGTAGATTTGATTGTTTTGTTTTTCTCGTTTTCAGCTCTCGATCCGAAGAAATGGACTGAATTCAAGCTTCAAGACACTGCAACTGTTAGTCACAATACTCATCTGTACAGGTATGCCCAATGGCCATTAGGCCAAATCAATTTCAATAATCCGCTGTTTCCAGAACATTGGAAGAGATCCAAAGCTGGCCAGAGCATTGAATTCAGTTCTTTGATAATGTGAATATGAAGAACGGATGCTGTCTGCAGTTAGAGTTTAGTTTGCTCGCTGTGGGTAGCTTTTGATCTCTATGCCTTACCGAATGGCAGGTTTACTTTTGATCCTTCTAAGGAGCTTGGTTTGCATGTTGCTTCGTGCCTCCTTACAAGGTAAATAGTGTGAAGTGTATGAAATCCCTACACAGCATTCAACTACTAGATTTTGCATCATTTGGTGATAGGGATATGGTGTTTAGAACTTCGAAGTTCTACATCTGCAAACAATCAGTGTGTTGATGCTGATGCATTTATTTATCTTATTCAGGTATCCAGAGACGAGTGCTGATGGAAAAACTAAATATGTAATACGCCCGTAAGTGCCCCTGTTCGTTTCTTTTCTTTTCATCTTTCACCTGAATATTTTACTATAGATCTGGCTCTTATTTGCTATCCTTCTATCTTGTGAAATAGCATATTCCTTTTTTCGACTGTCTGAAGTTGGAATCTCTCTGCTTGTTGTTCAACTTGATACAATTACTAACTAAACTGATAGATGTTTTTGTATCGTATTATACATGTTCTTTCTTTAGAATATTGATTGCATTATTTTGCCACTAGAATTTCGTCTGTGCTTTTGGATTTGTATTTTAGTCCTATCTTTTGTTAAATGGTAGAGCCTATTCTATGCTCAGGTACACTCCCATATCAGATCCAGCTGTTAAGGGACACTTTGACCTATTAATCAAGGTATGTCTGGCTTCTATGAATTCTTTTAAATGGTGATTAGCACTTGCGCTGAGTTACTTCTCATATTTCCAAAAATTGCTGCAGACTTATCCTGACGGGAAAATGAGTCAGTATCTGGCCAGCTTGAAGCCTGGTGATGTTATCGAGGTGAAAGGGTAGGTTATTTGCAAATAACGACCATGGTAGGGAGGTTAAAAGTTCGCATCCACTTTACCGTCAATATTGTCTTGCTGCAGGCCAATTGGGAAAATCAGATACTCACCCAATATGAAGAAACACATTGGCATGGTAAGCTCTAATCTATGTCTGTAACCTTGGATCTGGTTGAGTAACAATATGTATAAGCTCGGATGGTTAATTCTTTGACATTTTGTTTTGAAGTAATTTTCTTTGATGAAAATTTTTGCAATCTTGCTGAGATCAGTAGCAATAGAAGCTGTTCTAACTTATGTGCTGCTCCGTATGTATCTACTTGTGCTGTTCAGATTGCAGGCGGTACAGGAATTACACCAATGCTTCAAGTAATTGAGGAAATCCTAAAGAATCCAGATGATAACACCCAGGTAACCTTTTAAATGTCGATATCTGAACCTTTATTCTTGTGCTTTCTTACTCAGCTACGTGATTGAAGCTTTCTCAAAGATTACCTCGTCATTGCCCATCTCTTTTCTCTCTTTTTTTTCATCCTTCTTTTTTGATAGTATGTCCCTGTATGTTGTTTAGAACTGATGATAAGCCTCCTTCTTCTTAACAGGTGTCACTGCTTTATGCCAATGTCTCCCCTGATGACATATTGCTTAAGCAGAAGCTCGACTACCTAGCTACTCACCACCCGAACTTGAAGGTACCATCTACTCCAAGTTACAATTGGCTCTCTGGATTATCAAAAAGATCGTGCACATCAAACAAGAAATCTATCTCTAAACTTCTCCTAATTGCTACCATTCCAGATTTTCTACACTGTGGACAATCCAACCAAGAGCTGGAAGGGAGGCGTAGGTTACGTATCAAAAGACATGGCTCTGAAAGGCCTGCCTGCTCCTGGGGATGACACAATCATCCTAGTAAGTGCAACTTGCAATAGCATTGGATTTGCAGATAAACCGCCATTAATTTTCTCTCATCTCGGAATAACTTGTTATTGTCTGTCCATTTAGGTATGCGGCCCTCCTGGGATGATGAAGCAGATTTCAGGCGAGAAGGCGAAAGCCGAACAAGGAGAGGTACGGAAATAGTTCTTCCCTCGTCTTCTGATTTCGTGATCTCGACCTCTTTAACTAGAATAGTATCCATGAACTTTTGCTTTGGTTTCCTTTTTTCCCCATCCAGTTGAGTGGCATCCTCAAAGAACTGGGATACACAGAGGAAATGGTGTACAAGTTCTAAGGATCTCAATACTCTGCAGCTTACAAGATCCAAACAAAGCACCCGCTGATCTGCACTCTCCATCTTGCTGACTTTCCAGCTCAGTATTCTTTCTATTGTTTTCTGCATATCTGAGAGGCAGAGATGGAAGTGGATAAAAGAACCACAAGTTTCGTGAGGCGATAATAATTCTTGAGACGGGTTTCTTCCGGTCCAAGAAACCGTAGAACTTCTGCTTAGGTCGATTAGGAGAGCTAGTGTCTTCTGGTTAGTTCTATACAAGCAGATTGGTAGTGATGGAGTAGTACCTATCACAAACACTTCACTAAATTCCCCTGCTTATGCAATCTTAAGTATGTTTAATACCTCGTGAAAGAAGTATTACGGTAATGGCTGTTTTTGTTCGTTCATTTGAGCGAGATTTACAATTGAGAAACTACTAAGAATAAGTGGTGACTTCGGCTGGATTTGAACATGCTACGTAAGGGTTAGGTTTACTACTATACGCCGTCGTTTTGACCATTGTGGAGGAGAGGAGCTCGTTGAGGATATTGAAGGAGAGATTGCTGGATCGTCCATTGTCGTCAGGAGGGAAAGGGCTTTTTGATCTTCGGGAGCAATTGAGGAAGCGGAAGGCTGGAGATGGCAGCTGCTGTGTTTGTTGTCGAAGCGAGTGATTTCGAAGGGCCGAAGAGCCTCGCTCAGATCAGAGAAGAGAAGAAGGGCAGAGGAGCAAAATGGTAAAGGCAAAATGAGGATGAAGAGAGTTGTGTGGACTGTGGAGTAGCGTAGTACATGGTAGCCATTACAGGATTTTGAGGATAGCTTAATCATGGTAGAATTTTGCAGTTTACTACTGTAGATGACAGAATGAACTTGCTCCTTGGCAATAGGGAAGTGAAGTAGGAAAACATTAACAGCATAGCAACTCCTTTGTTTTGTGAGGTTTTAGGTTTGCCTCATCGCCAAATCTCTTGGAATCAAGTTTAGCTCAAACTCAAAGGACCCTTACTGGATTATCATTTCAATATGATTCGGTTACCATTTTAATGGGTGTTGACAGATTATATATTTCGTACTTAACTATACCGAGTCGAAGCATGATAAATGAGTGACGTGGACGATTGACTTGTGCTTCATTGACTAGTACCGAGTTATGTCGCTAAAAATACTAAAAGGTTGTTTGTTTGTTATATTTCTATACAATCCGGCTATGATGCTCACAACCCATTTATGAGAACGTGCGCACAGAACGGATAGTTATAGTATCGAGCGATCGTCACTGTGCAATTGTGCATCTATTGGATGAACACTAACCACTCAAAAGCTCGATACAATGTTGCGCTCAGAATTTGTGAGCACGTTTTCACAATTTGGGTTGCGAAGAACATAAGCAAAATTTTATTTCCATTCATTCGTATCACTCAATTTGATTAGGTTGGAAAAAAAGAACCAAGTACAAATAACCCAAATGCCAAATCCAATCTATGACCACAGAGAAGTCCAATAAATAGCCCAAAGAAAATCCACACTCAAGGCCCTAAAGCGCTGCAGGCTAAAAAGCCCAGCAGTATCTCTCCGTCCCTCCCTCTCTCTCTCTCGCTGCCCTCTACACTAGAAGAGAGCTCCAGCGGCGAAAGGCAGGAGAAAACGGGCGACGCTGCAGAACTGTCTCGCCGCCGCCGCTCCATCCCTTTTTAACCCCCAATTGAATTGAAAGGGAAGGAAAACCAGCTAGGAAGTATGGAGGACGAATTGCAGAAGCGAAACACCGATTGCGTGTACTTCCTCGCTTCTCCCCTCACTTGCAAGAAGGTTTGTTCTTCGATCTTTCCCCACCGCTCGACTCCATCCTACTACTTCCAGTGCTTCTCGCCAATCTTCATTCTCCTTCTTCAATTCCTTCCCCCCTGCGGAAATGCGTTCTTTCGGAGTTTCTAATTCGTGCTAATGAAATGCCGTCGTTCTTGCTGTCCGAAGGGGTTTAGTTAGATTTCTTATTAGGGTTTCTGCTTTTGCTTCTGGGATCTGTGGCGGGTTAGCTTTGTCGCGAATCCGTGGTTTTTTTATGTTGCTGTAGCCGGTAGTTGCCTTTTGGCGGGTAGTTAGGCTACCCACCTTGCTCTGTGGAGGAACTGGGAATTTGGGTTTCTGGGTGTCACCTATAATGCTCGAGTCATCAACAATGAATTTCTATATTTTCAGCTGCTTGGGGAAGATTCTTTATGCAATTAAGTTTCGAGTAATGGATACTCGCTCTTATGTAATCATGTGATGGCCGACTTGATTCTTTTCCAGGGAGCTGAATGTGAGTACCGGCACAGTGAGATGGCAAGGCTCAACCCTAGGGATTGTTGGTACTGGTTGTCTGGGACCTGTCTTAATCCAACCTGCGCCTTCAGACATCCTGTAAGCAGTTCTTTCTTCCAACTTACTGTGGGAGTTGCTTCTAACTCGATATGCTTGCACCTCTAAGTTGGCTTACTTGTGCTAATTGATTCTTGAATTCGTAATCGCAAGTGAACTGTGTTAGTTTTTAATGAATTCACATTCATGGTTCCAATGGTTTTTGTGATGAGGGTTTGCTTACTGTTTAGAGGCTCCAGCTGCCTTATCTTTGAGTGTTAGAAGATGATAGCAATGCTGATCATTCTTCATTTCGGTCTGAAGATAGATTATAAGTCTCAAGAGTTGTTTCCTTCTTCTGTTCTTAGTTATGGATGTATGCATTATTCTGTCCGAGTCACATCCTTGTACTCAAGCGTGCTCTGTAAATAACATATTTCGCCCTTTTTTGTTTGTTTCGTAGTGAATGTTTCACCTATTTACAGTATTGGATTTGTTTTTGGTTATTGTAGTAGACATCTTTGATGAATACCTTTAGGTAGTTTTTTATTTAGTGTCTCGATGAGGATTTCTTATTGTGCTGATGAGCAGCTTGCTAAGTAACCATGGTTTCTGCCTTCTTTTCCCTTGTTTTCCTTCCTCGTGTCTGCATTTTCCGTACTTGACTACTGGGCCCGTAGTTAGTCACTGCCTCTCATTTCCTATGCTAGGATGATCAGAAAACATGAATTTAATCCTGGTTGTGTCTCCTGAAAACTTGTTAGGAAGCTAATTATATTAGTTAATTTCTGCAAAGTATCAGTAATCTTCGATCCTATTGGTTTTTTCATGCTTGTTGTTACTTCTATGGCTGAATGATAATGTGCTCTCTGGGTTTCATCGTAGGCTTCAGTCGAAGCTTTTTCTAGCACTTTTTAAACAATACTGGCAGAAAGTGGCGTACCTGTTTTCTGGGTTCCATAACTCTTCATTTTAGGTAGTTTTCAAGAAATTTTTGCTATTTTTTGTTCTATCTTACATTCTTAATTAAGAATGTTGGTACTTCTGTCTGGATCTCTTTTCCTCCAACTGCTTCTTGCCTGGGCCATGCAGGCGAGCATGTATTCTTGATTTGCTGCTGCAGTCAATGATAGTAACACCTATTTTGGAAGCCAGTGCCTGTATGACTGGAAGTCGAACGCTTCTGTTTGCCATCCATGAGCACAAACCTTAGTTATTTGGTAGTTTGATAACTTGTTTGCTTGCGTACAAAAGCTACCAACCTCTACATATAACCGACCATGCTTCTATTCCTGTCCGAATGAGGTTATAAGATGTACATCACAAACGATAGTGTAGAATTTTTTTTTTCCCTCCCAGAAGTCTCAAAATTTCCCAGATACCCAAAACTGAGGGGACATATCATTTTGTTTCTTTTCCACCTACTTTTTGTCTATTCCATTATGTGTTTGGAATCTCCAATGAGTTATAGGATGTATATGTAGATTTTTTACCTCTCAATTTGATTCTGTTTTTCAACTTCATATTCATCTGATAATATCATCATCTCAACTGTCAACAGCCTCTAGAAAAGCCAGCTGAAGCTTCTTCAGAATCCGGTCCAGCTTCAGGTCAGCCTCCTCAACCGTCAAACAAGACCTCTGTACCTTGTTACTTCCACTTCCAAGGCTACTGCGGCAAAGGCGAGAAATGCACATTTTCCCATGCTCCTGATGTCAGCACTGTCCCCACTGCAAAGACTCTGAAGCAACCACATCCCACCAACAACTTGGCTGTTCATCCTGCCGACAGCAATAACAAGACTCTGTCGGGAACTAAAACGGTATCTGTCCCGACCTCCAAGATGAAGACAAGTCTTCCCCAAACAACATCTCAGAAACCATCTGTCCCTAAAGATGTGGTACAAAAGAGTTCCTCTCTTCAAATTGAGACGCCCCAAGTTGATCCAGCTGTTGTTCTCGAGTCTTTTGATACCGTCTTGCCATCAGAAAGTTACAACGAGGCTGGGTCATACATGGATGCTGCTGATCAGAACTCAGAAGATCATATTGACGGCCGCGTAGAACCAGAGGAACGGTGGGAATCATCTCCCGGTTTCGATGTTCTGGTAGATAATGATGAAGAGGAAGATCAAAATCTATGCTACAAGGATGAGCAGGAGTACATGGTGTCCCTCAACAGGGAAGAACAGAGAGAGCTCGATAGGAATCATCCATTTATGGAGTATGAGTTTGAAGAACGGCAAGTCGGGTATGAGAGGCGATTGGGATTCCGTGAGAGTCAAGACGTGGATCTCCGGGACCACCTGAGGAAACGCCAGGCCATAGACAATGGCGAGCCACCGTTGGAGAGATTGATGAGAAGGCGGCACCATGAAGAATCACTTCCGCGGAGGCACAGGAGCCATGAAAGACCGTACGAGCACGGACTGAGTGAAAGGCTACGTGGGAGATTGGCATCTGAGGTCGGAAGAAGGAATGACAGTGATTATGGATTATATTCAAGGCACTCTCCATATGATAGGCCACCGAGGCTACATCACAGGGAAAGAAGGGGGGCACCGAGAAGGCAGCTGCCACCTTTTGTACAGTCCGAGAGGGCTTCTGTACCGTCAGAGGTCAGGAGGAAGCCAGTTCGAAGGGAGAGGTCAGTTGAGGTATCTGGCGAATTTTCTGGGCCAAAGAGCCTTGCTCAGATAAGAGAAGAGAAGAAAAGGGTTGTTGAGAGAAATGGGTATCACAACGAGGACAGAGATGACGATGATATGGGTGTAATGGAGGAGTCTGCAAATTTCGATGGACCGAAGCCTCTGAATGAGATTCTGAAGGAGAAGAAGAAGCTGAGTTCTTTAGTAGAGTACACCAACGGTAGCAGCAACTGAGGTGAAGAAAAGTTTGTGGGGTGAAAGATTTGGATTGATTGAGTGAAGGGTTTGATAATTTTTGTAGGGCTGATGATGAAGAATGAGAATTTTTCAGTTGTAGCGTATTTTGTCTTCTGAGGGAGGGTCTCTTTTTTTTTTTTTTTTTTTTATGTAACACAGTTCCTCTACCTTGACTACTGATTTCTCTGTGTCGAGCTTCAGCTGCTGCCGCTGCCATGGCTTAGTAGTGAAAATCATGCAGCGGTTTTTGGCCATTGATGGCATTTGTATCGAGAATCATGGCAGCTCTTTACCCACATGGCAGTTCTGCAAGTGAACTGTTGGAATGAGTTTTGACAACCCACTGATAGCCGCTTGCACACTTTGGCCCAGAAGCCAGAATCTGCGAGTATAAACGAGTTTGACGAATCCGGGCTAACTCATAAAAGGGCGGATGAAACCTGTTTTCCTCATATGATCCGAACTCATCCGGGTCAACCCGCTGGTTGTAACAACATTGATCCAAACACATCCCCATTCCCCAACATGTATTTCATTTACTTTATTTTTAAACATACTACATTCTAAGCCTTTTTTGACCTGCCTATGACAAAGAAAAAATGAAATACACGTTGGGTTTCGTTTATTGTAACAATTGAAAATCTACATACCAAAAATACAGACAAGATATTACACACAGGTGCCCGAAAACTGCCAGTATGAGGTTCCAAAACCTCCCTTCCCATATGGATGTGGATGGATATGAGTTTTGGCTATTTGAAAATGGGGATGTGAATGGTTTAAGAAAACCAGCATGTCTTCAAACCCACCCAATGCCATGGTTGCTGACCACCATGTCTTCACTTTACCTAGCAGCTGCAGCTGCAACTGACATTGTTCTCAACTGGGCAGCAATCTCAGTGAAGCTGGGCCTTGCAGCAGGATTTGGTGCCCAACACAGCGCAATCAATCTGCTCCATTCTGGATCGCAGTCGCTTGGGATCGTTGGCCTTAAATTGTAGTTCACGACCCCATCTGCATCATCATCAAGTCATTCACAGCAGATGTAAGCCAACTGCTGTTCAAATCCCAGTTTATATCACTATTTTTATTTCAATCGTACGTGATTATTTGACATTCATTTGGTCATACTGTATGGCAATAAATCTAACGGGTTCACGATTCCCATCTCAGAATTAGGATCTTCATAGTACCTCCTTTTTTTTTTAGTAAACTCTAGAGCTTGACAAAAGTAAACGTGCCACCAAATACGAAACTACTCGACCTGAATTATCATGGTTTGTAGAACGAAATCATACCTACGATTGCACCATAATGCATGTTAGCATAGGGCTCTTCTCCAGTAAGCATCTCCCATAACACAATCCCGTAAGAGTACACATCAACCTGAGGAAAACATAGATATAATCAGATACCCTACAATGGTGTAATCAAACTTCAATGGAAAAGTTTGTTTTACCTTTTCGGAGACCTTGTTGCTGCTGCCGTGAAATAGCTCAGGAGCCATCCATGGTATAGTCCCTCGCGGGCCTCCGGAGACCAAGTTTTTTCTTTTGATTTCCGAGAGTCCTACATCACCAACCTGGTTTCATGTATTGTGTTAAAATGGTTAACAAATTAATCCACCCTTTTTAACGATCAGTATTTCCTTCTTCAGCACTTACTTTGCAAATTGGATGGCGTGGATCTTTCCAATCGACTAGCAAGTTGTCGCATTTTAGATCAAAATGCACAACGTTCTTTGAGTGAAGATACTCCATTGCAGCCGCAACTTGTTGAGCAATCTGATGCTTCTGGTGTTGGTCTAGATGCCTACACATTGAGATTCAGGGGGAAATAAGCAACATCAATCCCTTTCCATTTTGCATGGAAAACTGTCCCAAAAGCACCCGCACCAAGTTTTGTTAGCTTTTCCAGATCTTCATTCTTTATGACCTGAAAATGGGAAAAAATCCCACTGTACACATGTTTTTAAAAAAAATTCTCAAAATACACATGTTATGAAAAAAATTCCCAATCTACGCATGTTTGGGCCTTCACCGCGTCTGACAAAGGCGGTGATTGAATCACCGCGTTAGACGAAAACGGTGATTGCATCACCGCCTTAGACAAAAACGGTGATTGCATCACCGCTGTAGAGAAACGCGGTGAATGCATCACCGCGTTAGAGGAAAACGGTGAAGGCCTGGTGAAGGCCTGACCTACGTAAAATCTTTAAAAAAACGTAACTTTTTGCTCGGTTATCCGATCGTGATGAAATTTTTTTTGATTCCGCATAATTTTTCGAGATCTTGCAAGCCGCAAACTGCCGTAGGCGGTTTGGTCCCGCCTTCGTCCCGAAAAAACGTCGTTTGCTACCCCGAACGAGCCTTTTTTCGATTTCGTCAAACTTTGGACGACCATAACTTTGTGCTCCACAATCCGAAAATCATGAATTTTTTTTTGATTTTGCATAACTTTTTGAGGACTACAATTTTTATCATAGACATAATTTCGGAATGTACTTGGATTCCTAAAAAGGAAAGGTAAACTTATTCTCAAAACCCTGTATATCCAAAATAATTCATTTTTTGAAAATTCTCTCCTACTAAAAATTGTAGTCCTCAAAAAGTTATGCAAAATCAAAAAAAAATTCATGATTTTCGGATTGTGGAGCACAAAGTTATGGTCGTCCAAAGTTTGACGAAATCGAAAAAAGGCTCGTTCGGGGTAGCAAACGACGTTTTTTCGGGACGAAGGCGGGACCAAACCGCCTATGGCAGTTTGCGGCTTGCAAGATCTCGAAAATCTATGTGGAATCAAAAAAAATTTCACCACGATCGGATAACCGAGCACAAAGTTACGTTTTTTTAAAGATTCGACGCAGGTCAGGCCTTCACCGCGGCCGTCGAACGCGGTGAAGGTATCACCGTTTTTGTCTACAGCGGTGATGCAATCACCGTTTTTCTCTAACGCGGTGATTGCATCACCGCCCTTGTTTAACGCGGTGAAGCAATCACCGCCTTAGTCTGACGCGGTGAAGACCCAAACATGCGTAGTTTGGGAATTTTTTTCATAACATGTGTATTTTGAGAATTTTTTTTAAAAACATGTGTACAGTGGGAAATTTTCCCCTGAAAATGTGAGTACACATAAAGTTGAATTCAACCATGAACATAAAGTTTATCCAATTGCAACGTCAAATACAAGCAAAAGAAAAGCGATAGCCTGATCCTGTTCCCTAACATACCAAAAGCGCAATGAAGAAAACAAAGCCTCAACTTGGTTTGCAGACAACATTTCTATTAATAAATGCGAAAAAGATATTACCTGCACGGAACTAAAATCAATGCCCGCTAGAGAAGGGTTCACAATCACAGGAGGATGGTAATCCTCGAGCCGCACCTTCAAATCCTAAAAGGCACCAGATCAGGAACAAAAAAAAGTGAGAGTGACGTTTACTTATATTCAGTGGTGGCTTTTTACAGTGACTGAAGTTTGCAAAACTACCTTCAAAAAAATAAGTTTGCAACACTGCAAAGGTGACGGAAGTGAGACTTTCTCCGGCACCGATTCACATCACTTTGTTAAATGATGATTAAACTTTTGTCTCGATGGTAATCAGGGGTATCAGCTCCAACAGTTCTCGGAGTGGGTATACAATCATCAGCATTCACTTATACATGAGAGAGTGAGTATGTAATACTCAATCTCTAGCTCATCGTAACTAGATTATGATTCATATGTTGCCGAGCATCAACTTCGTCTTGAACTCTGTTGGTGTGTTGGTTGTTCTACTGGTGGTGTTAAGCGGCTCAGTTGCCTTCTTAAAAACAAACCTACTGCTGGTTGTTCTACTGATGGTGTTAAGCGGCTCAGGTACCTCCTATATATGAATCAAGACCGATTGAATGAACAGATGTGCCATCACCACCAACGTCCAGCTACTTAAGATTTCAATTACTTATTCAGCTCTTTCTAGCTATATTTTGGGTCATCAACCAACATCCAGTAACTTTGGAACATCGTTTTCCATTCGTTCGGTGAACCCACCTATTGTCCTCATGAATGTCGCATCAGTTGTTAAACGAAAGCGAGAGGAACTTGGGTGGCATCATTCACTCCATCGATTTAGCAGTACTACTGACAGATTCGTGAAACGAAAAACAGTAAAGATTCAACCTTATAACCCTAATGACATATTCGATCCGCGCGAAGCGCAAGCAAGCGGGTCGTCACTGGTTTCTATTAACGAACGCGAAAAAGGATGTTACCTGCACGGAACTATAATCAATCCCCGCTGGAGAAGGGTTGACAATCGCAGGAAGAGGATTGTAATCCATGAGCCGCCACTTGAAATCCTAAAAAGGGATCAGATCAGATGACAACAAAACTTCAGTTCCACACCACCCAGAAAAAAATTAGTACTTTCAATAACAGCGGAAATTCAGAATTGCTTACCTTCAAAACAGAGTCGTTCACCGATTCATCGGAGTATTGACCGGACCGACCAGACGGGCCGGTCTGAAAATCAGAACCGGAATCCTCATCCTCATCCTCCTGCTCCTCCTCCTCCTTCTTCTCAGTGAAAGAGTTAGAGGACCGCACGGGAAGCCGATTTGTGGATTCGCGGCGACAGGCCACTGCGGCCAGCAGCCTGGGACAGAACGAGGAGGAGGAGGAGGAGGAGGAGGAGGAGAAAGAATGAATGGGAGGCGGAATCGTGAGGCTATTGCGGCGGGCAGCGATTGAAGGGTAGGGAAAAGGCAACGCCATTTTTAAGCTCGATTTTTTTTTTCTTTCTTTCTTTCTTTCTTTGGGATCCCTGAATCAGAGAGGCGTTACGTCGTTTCGTTTCGTTTGGTGACGCTACAAATTCTCCAATTTATATTGTTTTCATTCATTACGTCATAACGCATACGTCATACGGTCGGCTTCTTATAAATAAATAAATAAATAAATATCTCATACGGCCGGGTACACTTGCTTAGGCAAATGAATATTCTGGAAGATGGGCTAAATTACACTTTTCATCACTTAAATTACATAAATCTTTTATGTTTCCTACTAAAATTAATTTTCTTTTTCTTATTCACTACTAACTTTAGAAATTGTTTGACCGTAAGTCACGCGTCAGCAGACTCCGTTAACTCCGTTAGTTTTTCGATGACGTGGCAAATGGAAATGTTGACTCGACTGTTAGTTCAACGAGTATTATATTATTGTGACGGCAGTATCCAATTCAAAACTCAAAACGTAGGTTTTTTTTTTTTTTGCTCTTTCAATTTCAATAAGGTGAATTGCATGTTTCATTTCTTTCAATGTTTGTCACTCTAAGAATTTTCCTTTCTTACTGGTCGCTGACTTTAAAATCAATGTTTCATCATTGGTCACTGACCGCCAGCTTTCGTTAACTTCATCCTATGTGACAATGAACGATGATGTGTCTTAAAGTTAAATATATAAACAATTTTGTCCGCGAATGTTCCATCCGGATATGGAGGACCCGTGATGTGTGGCATCCGGAGAAATCATAGGCTTTTTTAGTTAAGTCAATCTGCCACATCTTCACATCGTCAGAAAGAACTAGGACCGGTTTGGGCAATCCCAATCACTTAGACTGTTCCATCAAAGCATGAAATGGCTTTGGAGCATATCCCTTCCACCAAAAATCCTCAACTTCATTTGGAGGATCAAAAGAAATGCAAGGCAACAAAGAGAAATCTTTGGTTTCAAAAGGTGACTAGCTCACCTATTTGCATGTTGTGTGATGGTGACTGTGAGGATGTGTGGCACTGCCTGATTGGATGCCCCTATGTCATGCACATTTGGCAAGATGGTTTTGCTGATCTCCCTCTGCCTCCAAACTCCTTCCTGATCCTTATGTGGCTCTTCAATCTTCATGAAGTGCTCCCCTACTACTCTTTGGTGGTAGTAGTGACTCATTTGTGGGCTCTTTAGAATGCTCGAAATGAATGGGTGTTTAAAGGTGTTCGCTCGTAGCTCCGATCAACCTCTGCCAAAGCTTTCAGATACTTCAATGATTGGAATGCTCGTGAAGTGCCTCGACTACTTCTTCTCATCCCTAGCCTCCCCCTACAATGCTTGATATACCGCCTATTTATTTCCAACAAGAGATATATTTGTGATGGAGCTTTTGTCTCGGAATCTTAGGTGGGTGCATATGTTGTTGTTGTTCGCAATGATCATGGACAAGTGATTGATGGAAAGGCTGGGATCTTGTTTTGTTCCTTAGCAATTGTGGCGGAAGCTAAGGCTTTATTGATTTCATTGATGGTGGCTCAAGATGTTGGTTATTTTACAATTATCTTCTCCGACTGTCAAATAACCATCAACATCTTATGAGACTGGAGCAGTTCTATATCATGGCAAGTTAAGGCGTGGATCCACTATATGAAGTATATTCTTTCTCAGAACGATCATATCAAGGTGGCTTCTACTAATAGAAGGAACAATGAATGTGTTGATTGGACAATGAAATAAACCATGAGAGGTTCTCTTCCTTCTTAGTGGATTCAAATTCTTGACTTAGCCTCCCTTTTGATATTATAGGTTGTGCTTGTACTTCAATCGCTTTATGAATGAAAACTTACCAATTGTAAAAGAAAAACTCGAAGTGTGGGTATTAATTGGTTGGACGGGTTGTACATAATGCAAAGCAAGGAGGATTGGAGTGTAAAATATCGGGACGGACTTTAAGTAGTCACGAGTCCGATGAGCCCAATTACATGATGTTATGAGCATAGTTCAGGGTCCAAATATGTCATCAATTCATATTATTTGATTTACATAATTGTAGAGAATGAAAAATTATTGACTAATTTCACTAAAAATACTAACGTTTAGTGAAATTGTCATTTATACAAAACCTCTGTTTTGTCATAAAAAAACCTTTTCAACATGCTACAGGCTGGTCGGTTTAAAATTTTCATGAGGTTGATGGGTGCAAAAGGCACTAACGGGCTTTTATAGGATCCGACTGCTTTCATTCTTGGGCTCGTCTCTAGCTCCTCGGCCAGGCCTTGTCGGGCCATTTAGTTTTGTTCGTTTTGAAGGGAACTTCTTTCATTGGATTGCAGCTTCAACAACTGTCATGCCCACATTACTGAGACAAGCCCGTCCACAATAGTATTTTTCTTTAAAATACACTTTCATGGCCATAACTTTCTCGTTTGTTAGAGTTGTGACTAAGTAGTAAAAACCGTGCATGAGTACCGTCATTGACGACATTTGTATTGAGAATTATGCTAGGCTTTTACCCTCATGTTTTTTTTTCTTCTTTCTCTTCTGTAGAATATTGATATCAGAAATCTCCATGTGAACGGTTGGACACAAGGATTGACACAATCCACTGATAGGGGTTGCACATATTGGGCCATCATTTGGATCTGCAGCCAAGATTTCAGATATGGTCGACATGAAATAGAGAAAAAGGTGGGTGGAATTGTTTTTATGGGAATGGGTTGGGCAATATAGCAGCTTTACCAGCTTCAGCTTTTGCTTTCATGAGAGTTAGAAATTGAGATCTCTAACCTCTGCCTTTTTGCATTGCATATCAATTATCATATCATTCTGCCAGAATAAATTGGTTATACTTAGGTTTAGGTGCATAGTGTTTTCTCTAATAAAAGGACGCTTAATTAATGATTGGAACACTGTTGAAAGTAACATGGGTTTAGAACACCAGCATCCATTTCGAAGATAGAATTTCGTCACGAAAGATAGCACATGTTATGTGGTCCCCTTCGTCACGAAATCTAGTACTTGCGTCGATGGGTGATCGACGGTCGATCTTCCGATCAGTGACGGAGCCATGTTATGGTCCCTTCGACTTCCGGATATGATTAGAACAATGGTAGGGGAAGGAGTGAGTTCTGGTAAAGGGAAAGCAAGCACATTTATTGAACCCAGTTTGAGAAGTCTGTTGCTCATTTGCTTTCAAGGGGCCAAGAAGATAAGGAAGAAAGTAATGGCTGTTGCCCAAGGGCCAAAGATTCAATAAGGACCAGTCCAATTAATTCCAACCAAGTAGAAGATAGACAAGTAAATGAAATCAACCAAAACGTCAATTCTGTAACCCAATTAGTTTAGTTATTATTATTTGTCCTGCATAATTATTTATATTCTATTAAACCCATATATAATAAAGACGTTAAAGATTATTATTATACAATAAAAAATAAGACCAGCCGGCATTTCATTTGTTATAATTATTATTTCATTGTCCAAAACAAGGTTGCATTATTAGCACATAGTGACAAGAAAGCATCTGTTTTTGTTTCATCCAAATTCACAAACAGATTGACTGGTCGATACTATGTATCCGCGACTGTATTATGGTTGAAGAAACACGAAACCAACCAGAGGTATAAATTGCTAGCGAAATTGAGAGTGGAAAAACAGATGGCAACATAAAAATCATCAGGTTTTTTTTTTTTTTTTTTTTTTTTTTTTTTGTGTTGGAGGGAGTTCTGATGGTGGTTTACTACTCTTACCAGTTACCACGATGGTTTCTAATAAGTTGTTGCAACTTTTCAAGAGGCACTAATTTCTCATATTATTGTAGCAAATTCGTCTATTATTTCTTTTAAAAAAACAAAAGATAATTATATTGATTGATATATAGAGAAATCATAAATTACACTCTGGAACTAATCCATGAAAGAAATCATACAATCGACATGAAGTTGGAGGCAAAGAAAGGGTATTTCGAGCCACAAGATGGGTTATCATATTCCTATTGTTAATCCGACCTACAAATCGAACATGAAAACCACTATTCAGGGCCATCATACGCAGAATTTCCTCAATAATAGCCCCAACACGGGTGTCTCGCGCGTCCTTGGCATTACCGTCAATTATCCTCTCAAATGAAGAGATGGAGAAGGAATGAGACTGATGAAAGAACGTAAGTTCGTAATCGAAACTGATTGGGATGGGTTAACTCGTACAAACATAATCATGAGTTTTCATGATTTCCTATTAAGGCTCATACTTAATCCATTACGTTCGATCATATAAAAAATATTGCTCTCCTAAATCAAATGAGGAACATTTTGAAAGATATACATTTGAAGATTTGAAATGTCTGCGCTCTCTCTAGATATTTGAAAATGACTCAAATGAAGCATTGTAAACCAAAAACATCTCATTTCCCCATTCTCAAACGAAATTGTTATGCAAAATGTCTCGTTTTTTAGACACTTAACCACAAATATGATATCGAAATAACTCATCCAAAGAACCGAATAATTTTATTTCCTATTTAAGAAGGGTAAAATAAGGGCAATTAAGATACTTTCCAGTTACCAAACAGGTAAATCTACCTTCTTCCATCTTCAGAGTTCAATCAATTAATGGAATCTGTTGGGATTTTTTACTGCCCAAATAATTTGGCAGTTACCACAGCTAGAGAAGGAGATGAGAGTCCAACTTGGCGACCACATTTTTCCTACTTTCTCACTTGACACAGAATTTTCCAGACCAGTTCAATTATATTTTTTTTTCCATCGTTTTAATAAATTATTTATTTAGCATTTTATAGATTTTAAATTTTCCTTTCCCCGTATTATATAAACTCACCGAATTCATAGAAATGGAAGTCTTCCCTTTCAGAAAGAGAGAAGAGAGAGAAAACCGAAGACCAGAAACAGAGCAAGAAGAAGAAGAAGGAAGAAATGGAGCTGGGCGGGCTTCAGAGGTCCGCGACGTCGTATCGCCGCCAGGGATCCTCCGGCCTGGTGTGGGACGACAAGCTCATCGCCGAATTCAGCCGCCAGGCCGACGCCGAAAGGGCTGAAAGGGCCGCCGCGGCCGCCGCCGCCGGCGGCGGAGATCCGTCGTCCTCCCCCGATGCTATCACCGACACCACGAACCTCCGGGTCAAAACCGACGCGCCCTCGTCGGAGCCGGCCAAGATGCGTCGCAGCCACTCCGCCGGCGGCCGCGCCTACCGGTCCGTGAAGGTCGCCTCGTCGCCGAATCCCAACGTCGATCCGCCTTCCCCCAAGGTCTCCACCTGCTGTGCGATCTTCGCGAGTCCCAAGCCTCCCGCCGGCGGCCGCCGCCCGCGCAGCAGGCAGCAGCAGCCGCCGCGGAGGCAGATGAGAAAGGCTAGTAAGCGCTCTTGATCGATTTCACTTTCCCCTGAATTTTAGACGTCCGAATTTTTCCGCTGTAAGGGGGGAGGGGAATTCAAAATCCGATCTGTTGAACCTACAGAGAATCCATCGAAAACCAAATTCCACGGCTTTCTTCATCATCATCTTCTTCTTCTTCTTCTTCACTTGGGTCTGTCTGTTTTCTTTTGGGTTCGTATAAAGTTGTCTTCTTTATGGTGGGTTTGGATGGGATTAGTGAAATTGTGGATGTACAAAGACATAGATATGTAGACGGCAAAAGCAGCCGATTTTCGATTTCGAGGATTCGAAAATCCCGAATTTGAATCTCGGCTGTGTCAATTGATGTTCCACTCTATCAGCTTATATAAAAAAGGGCTCATGTTTGCCAATTTTAGTACTCTGTTTTCTTCTCTGGATGGAAGTCGCACGGTAAAGCCGTTGATTTTCGAATCGGAGGTTTCGAGAAATCCTGAATTTGAATATCGACCTGCGTCAATTGATGATCCATCCTATCAAGCTTATGAAAAGTTTCAATCTTTGCCATTTTCAGCTCTCTGTTATTCATCTCTGGACTGAGAACTCACAGCAAATTGTTTGTTTGTTTGTTGAGTTATGGATTCATGAGCTCTTTGATCTTTATGATCATCCTTGATCTGATTTGTGGATTATGAGTATATTTACTATATTATGATGATTCTTCTGTGATTAATTTCTGGTAACCAATAATTAGCAAAAGGAAATGGCAGAGGGGGATAAAAAGGGTGGGATCCTTTTGGAGGGAGGAATCATTCTGGTTGATTACAAAGTTGAATCACATAGCTTGCATTTTGTCCTCTACTGTTGGGTCTTAACCACTTAATTTAATTGGGGTTTTCTCAACTAATCACTCTCTATCTGGGTAAATTACATAAACATCCACTCAGTCTTGGGTCACTAGAAAAACTGGTCATTGAATTTTGATTGTTGAACAAACGAGTCATTGAAATTTGGATTAAGTGGGTTTTCATTTGAGTTGTTAAGCTTTTGGATACAAGGAAGAAGTGATTCCGATGATATCTCATAAGGTGGAAGTGGAATTTAATTTAACAAGAGAAAAGGGCGATAAAAACTCTCCAACCTATTAAGTAGCCAGAGGAAGACATCAGGTGAAATCGAGTTTAACCACACGCTTGGTTTGTTTGGAGATTGAGTGAAGTTTGGTTTGGATTCAAAAGGTTGATCTCTATAGCAATGATATCAATGCTATTAGCCAAAGATGAGTCTACTCATCAGTGTGCCGGCCTGGCGGCCTAGTTCTACAATATGACAATATCGCAGTCTTGTGGGACGATACTGGAACGTTCAAGTCTCCCACATATTTACATAAAGTGCAGCCATTTGGCCTAGTGTTAGGCTCGTAAAGGCTTTTCTGCGGCTATGAATTTATATTTGGCTTCAGATTACCAATCTATATGGTCGGTATTAGCTACGGTGTGACATAATTCACGTTTCTATTCTTTCTATAATAGGAAAGGGAAAAAAATTGTGACCTTTTGCTTGACCCCATATGTGAAATTCCACCCCTTCTACTTCCACAAACACCCATATTTGCTTGACCGATGAAACTTATGAGACGACCACAAAAATGGGCTAGAGTTGAAACAGAAATCAGGGGAGAGGTTGAACTAGAATATCCACCAGAGTATGCAATTGGGTTTACGGCCATTTTGATGCTCTGTTTTGTCTGAGTTGAGAGAAGGTTTCATAAAACGACGATTTGGCGTTCACCATCAACACACTGATGGCCCAACTTGGCATAATAAAACAGAGCAATTCGATCACGACATAATCGAGCAGGCAAAAAGCCATCTCAATGAATCAAGAAGAAAAAAAAAACAGGGGAATCTTATGGTTGGTGATAATGCAGAGGTGGCGATCTTGTCTTGAGTCTGGTGGGCTTTCATTCGCTGGGATTGGTCGATATTGTTTTTGAGGATTGCACAATCGAAAGTAGTGGTGATGATGATAATGGTCTTATCAATCTATAATTGCTAATGAATTCGTGCTAATCTTGATTTAGTGTGGTTGCTTACGGCTGATTGCATCATCTTGACTTGAGGGAGTTTTTGGAATTTTGGTATGAGATTATGCAGATCTATGTGTCACGAGTTAATTGGAAAGTTCCATCAAATATCTTGTTTTGGTTAGGAAATCAAATCGTGATGTTTAGTTTTACTAATCAGTTTCTATCCATGAACAAAATTGGGTTTTAAAGAAAAGTCGTCCAAGGATGGCCATATCGGAACCGTCGCTGAGTGGTATAAGATTCATTATTGAGTATCTCTCAACGATTCAGATCAACGAGTTCTCGATACGGTATCAGAACCTACTGCGATCGAGAGGATTTGTGTTCGAACTTCGAATCAAGGCGATCCCCTATTTGTGAAGTACATGCCTACATGGTATTCTCTTATTAAGGACCTGTGCAGACGAAAACCCTCGTGAGTTGTCTCGCTTTCGTTTGAAGTTGGATGTGTATTAGGGAGTGCACTGAATTGTATAAGATTCATTATTAAATTTCTCTCAGCAACTCGAGTTATCGAGATCAACTGATTGTTGACAAGAATAGATCGCAATAATTTAAATGATTAAAACTAATTATTTATTCTTGACATGATATTGAATCCTCATTTTAACTCTATCACTTCTTGCTAATCTATCTCTTGCCTTCTCTTTGTTAAAAGCGACTAGTGGTCCGGTGGAAAGTGCATTTGTGGCCTCGTAAAGTCCTGAAACATTCCAATCAAATCAAAGAGCAAAAGGTTAAATTATATGAGAAAAAGAAGGACCAATAACATGCAACATAAGCCCTAAATAGTGTCACAACTCACAAGTTTCTCCCAAACAATTATTTCTCTTCTTCTTCTTCTTCTTTATGATTAATCATTAATGTAAGTTGTGGTGATGATGTTCTTCATTTGAGATGATTGAGTTGTGGAAAATTCATTTGCATCAAATTAAAAATGAAGAGCAGAAAGAAAAACAGGAGGAGAAATGGAAAGTGGGTTCGAGAGACTTTACGAAGTCAAGTAACAGGGAAAAAAAGAGAGGTTGAGATGGTTAGCGGCAACTATGTAGTTTTATCGTTTACGTCTTGTCTGAGTTTTTAGTACGCCATGATAAATACTCTTTAAATCTAATTTATGATGTGAATTCCACGACCGACGAATGATATCGTCTCGAATGGCCAACTCTTCCAAGTTGGATTATAGTTAACTTGAAACATCAAATTTTAAGAGAATATCATGCCTGTTTGACTGGTTGCAGCATGTGTCTCGTCCTCATGCTGCATTTTTCATGTAATGTAATGATGGATCAATAGAATTTGAAATTTTAAGCCATCTTTAGTGTTGCCACTGTTGAGCTCCAAATCACGTCCCTCTCACGGATCTGTATCATCTCTTACGTTGTCGTTGCGCAAATCTTGAGACTCATTAATGCGTTCGCGTACCATTCAACATGGCAAAACCGATTGGTCGTTCCGCGGTTTTGATTGGCTTTGACCATGATATGCTTTTTAACAACGTTGAGTCAAATATTAAGCGGTTCAGACTAGATCGCGCTGGTGTAGTCTGGTCTGACACATTCTGGATCATGCGGACCACATTGAATAAAAAAATAGTTAGTTTTAATCAACCACACAAAAAATCGAACCAATAATCGAGAATTTTTTTTTTCCCTTAAAACATAATACGCATGCATAATTTTGATACCATAAACCCCTGTAAATATCAAAACACAAAGTTAGAGAAACCCAATTTGCACCATAACGTTATAAACATTAACATAACGTCACATGAAAACACAATCGTCTCTACTTTATGGTGGAGTGTGGTTTATGAATGAAGGAGTGGGCGGGATTCACAAAATTAGTGTTGAGACTTGGGTCTCGTTAAGGAGTTGAAAAACTGTTGCGTGCTTATACAAATTGGGACATGATTTGGGTCTACGTTTTAGTGGATAAACAACGATCTGGACCATGTCTGATCAAGAGATCAATACATCCTATAATATAGATTATGGATCAGACTAGACTTAATAGTCTACGATGTGAACCAAACTCTATGGTTTAGTTTGATCCGTTGTTTTTCAAGCGATCTGGGCTATTTTTCCAGTCCTATTTATCCCTTTAGAATATTAGGCAAATACCACAAGGAAACACGAACTATCAGAAAAATGCCTCTTGTGTTCTAACTCATCCCTTTTGAATAAAGTAGGACACAAGTGACATTTTTTTATATTTCGAATGTTGTAGTGGAATTTGCCCTAAAATATTTGTAATTTATAAATTAGATGGTCGAGGTTTGTCGGAATAGTGTACTTCTTCATTCTCAAACTAGGCTATCCACTGAGTACAACATTACCTTGTATGTGCTTCCATATATGTACCTTCGCACATACGGGTCCTAAGAATGATAAGTGACAGATGGTACTATTTCTACTAATAAATACTAAGAACTTTTCCCACCAATTTTTGATTAGGAACGAGAGACTACCGAACCAATGTCGAGAACACTAAAATCTAAGTACAAAATCTTCAAAGTTGGCATCTTTCCAAGTTTTGTGGAAACAAGATTAGTACCTAATCAAGTAAAGATCTACAATATAGGACTACTTCCCATTCCATGGAAAGCAATGAAATCTCATAATTTTATCTTATGAACGTTTCTAGGTACTAACCATACCTCAAAAAGTGAAAAGAATCACATTTATAGGTACCAAAATGAAATATCACATGATGAACGTTCCTTATGCGACACCCCCACCGAGATTCATACAAATCTCGCCGGGAAACATATCCGGCCGTGTAAGGAAAACCCACCAAATGATCGATTCTCCGCCGTTACTACACTCTTCTTCAGATCACTCTTCGCATGTCATATAAATCCCTCAAAACCCACTTCCCCAAATCAATCCCATCACCGCCTTCTCAATTTTTCTTTCAATTACACGATCAAAATGTCGCCAAAATCATCACCGTCATCAGCTTGCTTCCTTACTCTGTTCCTGGTTCTAACCGGCTCCGCCGCAATCGGGCGGTCGGAGAGGCTGCAGCCGGAAGTGGCGGCGGGTTGCTGGAAGGAAATCTACCAGATCCCCAACTGCCTCTTCAGCATCATCGACGCTTTCATCTCCATCGGCGGGTCCGTCGAGGTCGGCGTCGGAGTCCCCTGCTGTGCGGCGTTTTTGTCGCTAACGGGAGACTGCCAGGTCGAGATTTTCCAGAACAGCTCCGTAATTACCCTGATCGAGGTTTTCTGCGAGGCAATCGTCGGTTCTGCGCCGCCGGTGGACGGCGGGGACTTGCCGTGGCCGGAGCCAGAGCCTCCTGTGGCCCCTGCCCCTGAAAACGGCGGCGGAGACATGCCGTGGCCGGATCCCGAGCCTGCGGTGGCGCCTGCCCCTGAAAACGCCGGCGGAGACATGCCGTGGCCGGAACCAGAGCCTGCCGTGGCCCCTGCCCCTGAGAACGGCTGCGGTGACATGCCATGGCCGGAGCCGGAGCCGGAGCCTCCTGTGTCTGCGCCCGCCCCTGAGGATTTGGGTTCCACTTTCCCCTGGCCGACGGCTCGTCTGGTTTAGAAGAGTTTCAGGGGAGTGATTTTTAATTTGAACACTAGCTTGTTAATAATGGTGAATAAGTTAGAGACAGAAGGGATTAGGGAAGGGAAAATGTATTCCCCGCTGGGTTTGGCGGAATTGCTTTCCCGCCTTGTTTTGGGATCTATCTAATTAGTAATATATTTTGGTTTATTTGCTTAATTAAGCTATCGTGTTACTGGTTGCAATTGCAGGAGAATAAACGTCTTTCTCAACATAATCTTTCTCAATTTCATATGTTTTCAACTTTGCAATAGGACTCGTCTGGATGGAATGGCAGGCCAACAAAAGTAACAGAGAGATCGAAGAGGGAATCGTCATTATTCAAAGAAAAGCAAAACCAGCAGACATCATAGTTCGAAGGCCATCACCATAGCCAAACATTGTACTGGAAAACAGGAACAGAACATAATCCTTGGATCCAAACAATCCATCGAAACCAGAATACTTAAAACAGTCTAGAAATCTCAACCATCAAGACACCAGATAGAGCAAACACCCTTAGAAGCCACCGCGGAGACGCAGGACAAGGTGGAGGGTAGACTCCTTCTGGATATTGTAGTCCGCCAGGGTCCTTCCATCTTCCAACTGCTTCCCTGCAAAGATCAGCCTCTGCTGGTCCGGTGGGATGCCTTCCTTGTCCTGGATCTTGGCCTTCACATTATCAATGGTATCGCTGCTCTCCACCTCCAGGGTAATAGTCTTCCCAGTCAGGGTCTTGACAAAGATCTGCATGCCTCCCCTCAATCGCAGGACAAGATGAAGGGTAGACTCCTTCTGAATATTGTAATCAGCAAGAGTCCTCCCATCTTCCAACTGCTTCCCTGCAAAGATGAGCCTCTGCTGATCTGGGGGAATGCCTTCCTTGTCCTGGATCTTGGCCTTGACATTGTCGATGGTATCACTGCTCTCCACCTCCAGGGTGATAGTCTTCCCAGTCAAAGTCTTCACAAAGATCTGCATACCTCCCCTCAGACGGAGGACCAGATGGAGAGTGGACTCCTTCTGAATGTTGTAATCAGCTAAAGTCCTCCCATCCTCGAGCTGTTTTCCAGCGAAGATCAGCCTCTGCTGATCAGGGGGAATACCTTCCTTGTCCTGGATCTTAGCCTTGACGTTATCAATGGTGTCGCTGCTCTCCACCTCGAGGGTTATGGTTTTGCCGGTCAGGGTCTTCACAAAGATCTGCATGCCTCCCCTCAGACGGAGAACCAGGTGAAGGGTCGACTCCTTTTGGATGTTGTAATCAGCCAACGTCCTCCCATCCTCAAGCTGCTTTCCAGCAAAGATCAACCTCTGCTGATCTGGGGGAATCCCTTCCTTGTCCTGGATCTTTGCCTTGACATTGTCAATGGTGTCGCTGCTCTCCACCTCCAAAGTAATTGTCTTGCCAGTCAAGGTCTTCACGAAGATCTGCATACCTCCCCTGAGACGGAGAACCAGGTGAAGGGTCGACTCTTTTTGGATGTTGTAGTCGGCCAAGGTCCTTCCATCCTCAAGCTGTTTGCCGGCAAAAATCAGCCTCTGCTGATCTGGGGGAATACCTTCCTTGTCCTGGATCTTCGCTTTGACATTGTCAATGGTGTCACTGCTCTCAACCTCGAGAGTGATCGTCTTTCCAGTCAAGGTTTTCACAAAGATCTGCATACCTCCCCTGAGACGGAGAACCAGGTGAAGGGTCGACTCCTTTTGGATGTTGTAGTCGGCCAAAGTCCTCCCGTCCTCGAGCTGTTTGCCGGCAAAGATCAGTCTCTGCTGATCTGGGGGAATACCTTCCTTGTCCTGGATCTTCGCCTTGACATTGTCGATGGTGTCGCTGCTCTCAACCTCGAGGGTGATCGTCTTTCCAGTCAAGGTCTTCACAAAGATCTGCATCTGTAAAATAATCGCAACCAAGGAAAACCAAGCCAACAACCATGATCAGAATCCACCCAGATTAACGAACCATAGGGTACAAATAAAAATCCCAGCCTAGCCCCCGACCTAACACTGGGAGATCAAAAGATTCAAACATGGCAATGGCAACAGACATAGCAAGATCAAACGAACCAAAGTTCACAGAATAACAAAACCCAATTCCCAGAACAGATATTCATTCCAGAGATCAATACAGCGCAAATCATAACAGAAATTATAACCAGTTCACTGAAACCATAGCTGAGAAAAATTGCAGTCTCCCATCCAAACATCGAAGGCCTGACTAAATTCCCAGAGCCAAGAAACCCCCATAGGCAATCGAAGTTACAGAACAACGAACCCTAATTCCCATGACCGAAATTCAATCCAGAAATCAAACAAGCGCAAATCACAATCGAAATCTAACCAGATCACTGAAACCCTAGATACAAAAAAAAAACTCCTGCTTCCGATTCAACAACGGGAGATATCAAAGATTCAAGCATGGCAATCGAAATAACAAGAGCGAGCGAACCCCAATTCCCAGAGCCAAGAAAATCCGATTCGCAATTGATTTTGTGGAACAGCGAAGGCTAACAAACAACAAGAAGAGGAACGAGAGAAGATCGAAAGAGAGGATTCGTTACCTTAAGAAGCTGGGATGAAAACTTGGGATCGAAGGTCTGACTGATTAGAGAGATTTCGGATTGTTTGGAATGAAACTGTGGATGAAGAAGGCGTGATTGGGGGTTTCGATTTATAGGAGCTGAATTGACCGACTTAGGTTCGGAGTAGTTCAACAGAAGCAGACACGTGTATGGACTGCCGTGCTTGTTGGCGTTTTCGATTTTTTCTAGACTGGGCCTAAGCCCATTCTGGGCCCCGACAAGGGAGGCCCTTCTATCAACGGACAAGAGAGGCCCATTTAACCCAGATTCCCCTGCCCTCCAGCCTCCAGGCTCCCGCCATCAATTTTTGGGGTTTCGAAATGTGGATGGGTATTGGGTAGCAAACAAAAATACAAAATCAGTCCTCGCCTAAGGCTATGATCAATTATGAATGATGTTCTACAACTCAAAATCGTGCTTTAACACATAAAAAGTTTATGTTTTTATTTTTTTAGTCATGAAAACGTTTCTACGTGAAATGACACTTTTTACTTAAGATTATAGTCAAAAACTCAAAATTTTCGTTTTCAAAATTTACAATTTTATACTTGTAGTAGATCACAAAAACATTTCTAATGGGAAGAGCAACCTGTAAACCCCAATCTTAGAAAGGGCCTGACCATTCTAGTCACTAGGCTTTGGGAGATGGACACATAGTACAAATGGAACCAAAACCGGAGGTGCAGCTGTTAATGGGCTTTGTTGTTCCTATCCTGGGCATTGTGAGTGTGCAACAATTCGGTCCATACCGTAATATAACCGGTCTAAAAACAAAAGTTAATTTCGTAATCTGTATAATTGTAACAAATGTTATATCGAAAAAGTCAATAATAGGACATTTTTCGTTGAATTCGTTATTTAACCATGATTCAATCATTTCATATGATTGAAAATTATCTACCAATTTAATCTCTAGCAGGAGGGTTTTTTCGATCAAACCGATATACGATACGATTTCTCAAATATTGAGAAATTTGAGGATTGGACTTCTCAGTTGTCACTACCCACTTCATTATATTGGCCAGTCGACATATGTATATTCCCTGTCCAAAAGAAACGACACTAGAACTCCAACTTTCGAGCCCGCCACCATTGTTGTCCATTTGCTGTGCTTATGAAACATGGTTCTTTTGCTTTTTTTTTTTTATGCATGAAAAGGAAAGGTAGACGACGACCGATTTGCATAAACTAATGTGTTATGAGATAATTTTTATATGTATGCGGCTTCTTGTTTTCGTTGGTTGGGTTATCCACTTGATTAGTCACTTGAGTTGGGGATTATTAGGTTAATGCTGAGTTAGGCTTCTCACAACAAAAGCAAAAGGAGGGAAAGGTTAATTAGGTTTCCTTTAGCTTTCTAGTACCTTTTTTTGGATGATTGCTTAGCTCTCCATTTCTGGCTATCAAATGGAAGTTTATCATCAACTGATTATACTAGATTCAAACAACGATTCGTACAATAATTTGAGTTCGTGGGAGAGATTCGAGTGTGAATATTGTATCAATCCCTTGTCATTGAATTGAAACAAATCAAACCAAATTTTTTTTTTTCATGAGATATCAATTACCGTTTTCACTCTCCATGTTCAAAACTCACTAATGTACCGATTTAAATTAGATTGAGCCATTGCGAACACCTAGATGTGGGCTTATCAGACCGTAGATTGAGCTTTGTATATTTATTGCATCCAAAGACAGTGTCGGAGTTTCTTGTAGTAGCGACAACACCGGCCCTATCTTTATAGTATTTGATATGATGTTATTATGTATGTGCTGAACAAATATTGAAAAGTGACAACGATTTGAACTACTAGCCCTCCTACTTCAAAATCTAGATTCAATCGTGAGAAACTATCGCAATTTACTTGATCACTAACCAAACCCACTTTAATCATGTCAACCTGACTTCAACTCAATTCACTTCCCCAATTGTTTTAGTACACTTTAGTGACTTTAGTCAGCCACTCAAGTCTCAAACATGGGTAGAGTTCCACTTCATTCTTTTGTCTTGGTATCAACTCCCCTGTTCTTCGTCTTTCTTCACCATCATGCAGGAACAACAGAAACCGTCGCTCTTGACAACCCTAATATAGAATGGCCTAGGATACAAGAGATTCTGCCATCCACCAAATACAATGGAGGCATAACCTGATCAGTAATGACTTCCATGGGACTGTAGCTATCAGTTGGGTGGGTTTTAGGGCTAAGCAGAGTCTAGTCACGATGACACGGCACTCTGTATCTGTTGATATGACTTGAATCGGATTATCAGCCGCTACGACTGGTAATCGGGGGTCTCTCTCAGATATAGTGAAACTGGCTCTCTCTCGCCCGTGGACTAGCTAACACACATCGTGTTAGTGAACCACGTAAATCGTGTGTCTGTGTTCTTTCGATTCTCGCTCTCGTATTCTTGCTTTATCGATTCCGGCAATTTCCCGATCCGTAGCAGCGCGTTTATAACAGTATCTCTCCATCGTGCTTCGTGGGATGATAGCGAATTGAGTTACGGGCAGCAGGTTTCTGCAACTGGCCAAGAACGCAGACGGAGAGATGGAAGGTACGTAAAGGAGTAGTAGCCAAGTAGGACTCGCCTACCAAGTGTTCGAGGAAATGCGTAAGTAAGACAAACATGAAGCTCTCAATTATTGTCTCTCTCTTACCTTCTGCTTCGTAAAGATGAAATCTTTTCGCCCGGGATTCGATTAACAGCTCATTATCTCAATTACCCAGAAGTCTCCATCGATACAAATTTATTGAATTTGGACCCCTGAATCTGCCTGTATCGTCCCATCAGCTTAAGGGGAAAGCTTCGATGGGGTATCGAATCCGTTCGCCACCTTCCTAGCTATTTGTCAACAGAGGACAGACATGGGACAAATTTTACAATACTACAACAAACATTACATTACATATACACCAGCAAGCATGGAGGGGTTGAATCAGAATATTCATTTGCAGAGCTGGTTCAGCAAGCTCTGTTCCTGCTGCTGGATGGTGCAGTTGATTAGGGAGCATGAACGAATGGTCTCTCCGGCAAGCGGGACAACAGGGAGATTATCGCAGTTGCAAATTTCGATCATGGACCCATTTGGGTCGTGGAAGAATATCTGATCGACGTAGATTCCTCCTTCTTCTACCCTGCCTTTCACGTACTCTATCTCCATCTCCATTAGCTTCTTCTCCACCGTCATCATGCTCTCGCACTGCACAAAATTATCACAAAAAAATAAGAAACCACCAAATTTGCACGAATTGGGGAATTGGGGAGTTGGGTTACGAACTTGGAAGGAGATGTGGTTGTCTTTAGGGTTGATTTCGCAGATTTGGGGCATGCTTTCTGGGTCTTCGGACTGGAGCAAATGGATTCCGATTCCGTAACCAAACAGCCTGCAGAAAAACAGAGACCCAAAATCAAAACAGAGTCCTCTGTTTTTCTTCTTCCAAAGTCTCTAAATCGGGGGTGAAAGAAGTCTAACGTACCAGGCGCCGTCGAAGTCGAAGGAGCCAGGGCGGCGGATGGGGAAGAAGCCAAGAACTTGCTGGTAGAAATCCAGGGATTTCTCGACGGATCGACAGACGAGGGAGATGTGATTCAACGACTTGAGCTGCAGAGGGTTGTCCTCCATTCCCATGCCCATTGCAAGTCTGCTCTGCTTTTCCAAATCTCGAAACTCTTGATCGAACGAGTGTGATGGAAGAAACGGGCTGAGGAAGATGGCTAGAAATGGTGGTTGTAGAGCGTTGTAATGGTGGTATATATAGGGCTGAGGCAGAGTTTCTAAGTGAAGAGGGAGGGGTAAGAATTGGAATCGGAGAGTTTAATATTCGGTTCAAGTATCTCCATTAAGGGCTGAGGCTGACCGAAGCATTAAGCAATGATCCGTCATTGCGGCCATGGCGATGCTATGCTCTGCCTTCAACCTTGGCTCTCGTCTTGTTGTTGGTAATGGAGGTTTATATTTTGGGCCTTTGAGCCCGTATTCAACCAGGCCAGAACGAATCGGCCCACTCAAAAAACGCTCACGGCTGGAAACCCAAATACCCGACCGCAAAAGCCGAGAGACGGCTTTTCCCTCCCTGAATCTCTTCCCAGGAGAAAATTTCCCGGAAAATCTCAACTCTCACAATAGGGGGGAAAAATGGACGGAAAGTTAGAAATCTCGATCGACAAGCGGCTGCAGGCCATCGAGCAAAATTGCTCCGAACGCTTCCCGACGTACGCCGTGGGCGGAGGAGAGGAACTGAATGCTGTGCCAGTTGACCTACTGGCCGTGCGCTACTTAGATTACAGCTTCTGCTCTTCTCTCGACTGACAAAACTGGAAATTTGTGAGTCTCTCTCGCTCTCTCATTCCCTTCATGGTCGATTTTGCATGTTAGTGGAAGTTGGATCAGTTTTTCGTATGGTAATGGAAGTTGGGTTAGGGTAGGGCAGAACTAGAGTTTGTCAATGTCAGGGTTCCCAAGTTTTGCCATGGGAATTGAGTGAATGGTAAGATTTTGGTTTGCTATTGAGAGAAGCAATGGGGATTAACAGTGGAATTTGAATGCTGAATGTGGAACTATAAGAATGGGGTGAAGCTAAAGTAAGTGAATTTTCCTTTTGGTTTATGTGTATGGAAGCTAATGATGCTGTAACAGTTGCTTGTATGAATAAGCCATAACTACCTGATGACCAGCTGCCTGTCCTTGCTGTATCTACTGCGACCAAGCTACGATGATACCGGGTATGTACTTTGTCCGCCCGACCTTTCCTCCATCACGCACTTGACATCAGTTGCTGATGTTACAGTTCATTTCATTTCCAGCAACTTGGCAAATGCCTCAAGCAGTCTGCCAAAGCTTTGGATCTGCAAGTGGCAAGAGAAGCAATATTTTATGGTGCTTTAATCAGGTTTGTGATATGTGCATCGTTTTTTTGTTTATCGGAAGATATGTGCATTGTTAATTCTACCTCATTGAATTACTAAGATGACCAGAGAGCATCCTGCTGGCGACATAACTTATGAAGTCTGTTTGTCAATCAAACTTGTTAGTAATATGTAGGTTCCTGATACCCTTGTTAGGTATGCGTGTATGTACATAAAAGATGTACTGACCAGCTAACAGCAGAACTGGAAAGTTAAACGCCAGAGACTAGCTGCACTTGCCCCTGGTTCACGTTTGACCTGTATGACAACTCATTATATGACCCAGCAGCTGTTCGGCTGACCTCTCTTTGTACAATTCGAATTGTACACGACCCAGCTGGCATGCTTGCAATAAATTTGCCTCAAAAGGCTCCTCATTCACTTCACTTTGGTTTTCTAGGTTTAGACTCCAATAAAGATCGTAGTAAGACAGCCAGTAAAATCAGAACCAATTCGTCAATTGAGCATATATCAAAAGGAACCGAGAAAGATTCTGTTGACGGCAATGGAAGTGTGAAAGGAACACATTCTCTGCTCCGTGAAGTTCATCAAGCGATCTTTGACAAGCAGGTCGAGTATCTCTGTTTCTCAATTGTGTTTTGTGGTGATGGGTCCCTTTACTTCTTACATTCTTACTTTCTTCATTGTTATTATGGTTTCAGGTATTTGATACAGTGAACCGTGAAGCAGTTAACCAATCTTTAGGAGTCAACATAACTGGAATTCGAGAAAACTATCTACCGCTGAGCATTGGTGCAGAAACCTCTGTGTTTGTATCTTTTTCACCTTGTGGTCCAGGATGAATCAACAGCTTTTATTGGTAGGATCCCCCAGGATTTGAATCTGTAACATCTGGGTTCAGCTGAAGATGAAACATTCCAAAGCACTTGGGTTTTCCCAATTCTACTAGTTATGAAATATACCTCCGCCAGATATTTCACGAGAATGTTCTCATGAAAGCAAAGGAGAAACCCGTTTGTACAGGCACTCGCGTACATACTCCCCGAGTGAAGGATGAGCCCAGTCTTCTCAGTCACTTCTGCTTATCTCTGGCTCATAGAACACTTTCAAACAAAGTTCTTATGGAGCTAGAAAAAGTGGTACCTTTCTAGATTGATTGATGATTTCATGCTACTTATTGATGTCTTAAACAGCTTGTGCCCTTTTGTAAAAATAATAATATTTTGCTGTTTGCCCACCCAGGTTTGCAGAGTCCCGTATCTCCATTTTATATCTCATCCCACTTGGCATTCCAGGACATCTTTATGGACGATCTTAATGAGAGTACCGCCAACCATTCTCTATGCAAATTCTCCATCACAGTCCTCAGACATCCAAAACATGAAGAGTACTGTTATTAAATCTGAGTTTCGAAACAAGGTTATGGTGAATGATGATCACATCCACATTGAAGCAGAGGGTGCTCCCAATGTTGTTGGTCTCTTCGATGGGAGTTCTAAAGATAGATGCATGACCAAAAAGTATGATTGCGATTTGGTCGATCTTCCTGTCACAATTCTGCAGCAGGTAAGCCATGTGTTTGTATTAAAGTTATGTTCATCTTTTTCTTAAAATGACCCAATTTATAGTGAAAACAAACACTCTTCATCTTTCTAATGTGTCTCTTCAACCTCGTCAGGTTGCAAGCCAGGTAATCCGCTGGCTGCACGAGGAAGCTCTCGGGGTGGGAACTAAGGCAACTCGGGGTTTCTTATGCTTGTCTTTTGAGTTGGATCAAGGCGAAATACTCGGCCTGGTCGCCCAAGTAGACCCGGAAGACACACAGGGATGCATATCTTGGTGGTTGGTCATGGATGAAAGTTTTGCAGAAGAGAGGAAACTCTATGCTGATGCCGCTGTAGATGGATCGTCCGATCACCGGAAGTTCTTGGGGTATCTTACCTTGGATGTGTTGCATTCAACCCTGATGGACTTGGTCAGTTTGTGCAGTGGAGCAAGAGGTGGTGGAGGCCATTAACATGGTGTTTGTCATATAGGTATCCCGTGTAAAATTCGTCTGCAATGCCTTAGTTATGTAGCATAGGCAAGTTTTGTACATCAACATTACCCTTAATCTCATCAATATATTCTTTTCTAAATCATTCTACTTGGTTACTGAATTGCAATGGTCTCCATCATAATCAGTGCTTGCAGAAGGCTCTGCTACATATCCAGATGACTAAATCTTGAAGCTAAGAACCCATAAAAGAGAAACTGAAAAAGAGAGCCATGTGGCCCTGAACTTGAACATGAACCCACCCTAGAACAGAGGAATTTTCAGCCTTTTTTCTCTTATCTACCAAAAATTCCAAGTTCCAACAGCCTGCAATTTAGATACCAAACTTTGCCTTCCTTCCATCATCTTCACAGGATTCCACTCTTTAATGTTTTGCCTTTTTGGGTCTAGGGTTTGTGGTTATCCGACATGGAAGAGGCCCTTTCACGCTGAAAAAGGATTGAGCTGGAAACCAACTGTAGTTTTTATTGCAAAATTCATTTCCTGAATAGGGCAAACTAGGGCACAATCATTGCTCAGATATCATGATTTCCCCTTTCTTTCTGGGTTCACCGAGCTTCCCACTAAGAATTTCCCGCCTCCTATATAACCTAAAAGCTACGTTTTGTTTTAGTGGTACAATTCCATCAGGGTAAATTACACCCGAGGTCACTGAAATTATACGTTTATTTTACATTCGTCACTAAGAAAAACACCATCAAAACGTGTTGATGAAAAATGTCATCTAGAGCCTTATCTTATGTCAAGTCTATTGTATGAATTTGTCAATAAATCACTTATTTCATGTTGGTTGAATTCGTGGGAGGCCTTAATCTGCACGAGATCATATCGTACTACTGAAAAAGGGAGTTGCTAAAGGTCGCCCTTAAAATTGCTAAAGGTCGCCCTAAAAAGAATCAAAGTTACACTTTTACCCCCTTAGCTTCTTTATCTTCCATTTATCAAACAAACACCACTTGGACTAAAAAAACACTATCTAAGGAGAGAAAAATCCATCATCGTCATTTTGAAGCCGATATCGTCGGAGTAGCGACTCCGACGAGGTAAATACATTAACTGAAAAACGAAAAAAAAAAAAAAGGAACCGCGGTCAACCTGCGGTTGGACCATGGCCGGACCGCAAATCACCTGCGGTTGGACCATGGCTGGACCGCAAATGACCTGCGGTTGGACCATGGCTGGACCGCAAATCACCTGCGGTCCAGCCATGGTCCAACCGCAGGTCATTTGCGGTCCAGCCATGGTCCAACCGCAGGTGATTTGCGGTCCGGCCATGGTCCAACCGCAGGTTGACCGCGGTCAACCGTCGGTTCAACCGCGCGTTGACCGCGGTTGACCGTCGGTCTAACCGCGGTTTGACTGCGGTCGGCACGGTTTTTTTTTTTTTTTTTTACCTTCTTCTTCTCCGACGAAGCCTTCTTCTCCGGCGAAGGCTGCTGCGCGGGTGGGATCGCGGGAGTTCGGCGCGATGGAGCGAGGTGCAGAGAGAAGGGAACGCAGGAGAAGGTTTAGGTTTAGGGCTTGTTTGTTTGTTTCAATTTTGATTTTTTCATTAAGGGTATACAGGTAATTTGACATATAAGTTAGGGCGACCTTTAGCAATTTTAAGGGCGACATTTAGCAATCCAGCTGAAAAACACCATCAATAACTCTATCCATGTTGTCATCCTCAATTTTATTGAATAAATATTTCCCACCCCTATAAAATAAAATAAATCACATCATATCATGTGGACACACACATTCGCCTCAAATGCAACACCCACACGAAATGAACATTTGGTCGTGACTTAATCAACAGGCTAATTAATTTATTAATTACTTGATTAACAACCCATCAAAACCCTAATCGTACGAAAACAGAAATTATACATTTCTGTCAATGGAAGTTATCGGTGAAAGATTAGTGTAATCAAAGCACTAGCGTATGACCAATATGACAAAATAGGGCGGAAAGGGATTTGATTAGAAGGGATTTAAAATTAATAAAATTCCATTATTAACTTATTATAGCACTAAAAAATTTTGTACTCAATAGTGAGATGTACCCAGAATATGAGACAAAATCTACAACTTTCATTGTATAAGATTCTCATCCACTTAAGTTAACAAGTAACAACAATTAAATTTTGGAGTCATAACAATTTAGCCACCAAATATTGATCTGTAACGAATCTGTCGCTCGAGTTTGGAGTAGCTAATAAAGTAGTTGTTTTATTGTTCACTATTGTAAAAAAATCTCGTCTAAATTTTATAGATTAGTAAGTGGTCGGAGTTAGAATGAGTAGTGGAATGAACTAGGGACTAGGGTTATTCTAGTGTAACATGATTGGTTGGAGTTAGGCCTTTCAATATCTTTGATTTACGATCAAGTGCGCCAATGTAATCCGATATTAGGATGGAGAACTCGACTCAACCTTAGTTGACTGGCAGACTGTTGTCTTTATCGAACCAACTACTCACTACTGTTTGACCAACCCTAATTTGATTTTTAGAAAACGCAACGTGTGATGTAAAATGGATCATGTAGTTGTATGTCAACCTATTAGGATCAACGATAAGTTTTTCTATAGCTATTAAGTTGGGAATTTGACACTTATATTTGAACAATTTTGATGACGTATTTTGATAAAAATGAGCAGATCACTGTTATAAATGATTTATTCAAAATTTCAGCAACATAGTCCGTGAAAACTAAGTTAATGATTCGATCGCAAATAACCTCGAAATTTAGTGACCATTTCTGTAATTGACCCTATTTTCAGCTGGAATTTTCCATTTTGTGAGAAAAAATAAAATATGCAAAATTTCCTCTCCCAGTTTCCGTTAAACAACAGATCCCTTTCGTCACACTACTGCTCTCTCACACCCACGCCCACGCCACAACAAGCGCAGAGAGAAGAAGAAGAAATACAAATCCAACTGTTAGTCTTCTTCTCGCCCATCCTGCCCAAATTCCACCCTTCGTCGCCATTTCCAGCTCCTTCTGAGCTCTTCCCCGTTCGCCGTCTTTGCTTCCTGGGCATTGCTGGCCGAACGGGATACGGATACTTGGAAGAAAAATCCAAAAGGAGGGAGTTGCAGTCTCAGGAGTCCTTTCGCGGGAGGTTCGTCCTATTCCCCGGCGGAAACCCCAAATCGGAAATTGCCGGGGGGTTTCTTTCACTTTCTTCCAATTGGTTTAACTTGGTGGGTATTCGAGGAGCAGGAGCATGTGGGCGATCGTGATGGGTTTGTCTTGAGATTTCCTCCGTTTCTTCCTTTTTGCCTCGTTCGATAGCTACCTTCAATTTCTGAGCTGCGGGGGAATTCGATTTCTCTTGCGGGGTTTTGATTTATTTTTGCAATCATTGGATGGTAGTGTGTGGACTCTGTTGAAGTGCGTACCGGCACGGCAGTTCATTTCCCACTATTAGATGTAGCAGCTGAATAATTTCCTCTCCTCCATTTTCATTCTCTTATGGAGTGATGCGTTCTTGATTGCGCTGGGAGTGGGTTTCCGTGGTGGGTTTTGGGACTTGAGGAAGAGGGTTTAATTCGGATTTTGATTTTGGGGTTGGATTTCTACTGATCTTGGGGAGGGAGGTTTTCAGAGTAGGGAGAATGTCTGGTGGGACGCCGAGAGGTGGAAATGTGAGGCAGAGACTTAGCCAAGGAGGGTATGGATCGAGTGGTGATGATTTGGAGGATGATGCTTGCTCGAGACCACAACAGCACTTCTCTCCCACTCCTCCACGGGTCAGGTCTTGGGTAGAGATTTTGGAGAATTTGCTTTGGATTGCTTCAGCCATTTTCATCGTGTACTATGGTGACAGATATTCCAATTTGATATATCTACTGTGGCACGATGGTAGAATAAGAAGGTAAGCAGCTCAGTTTGTTCTGATTCTCTAGTCACGGTTTGATATCATGTGTGGTAGTTGGTGTTTGCTCAAATATTGAACTTGCGTTGATAGCAAAGACAGTTAGAATGGTTGGTGGATATCTAAGAGAATAGTTTCTATAGTTATGGATGCGTTGTATTTCTGGGTATGAAACTATGAATGATCCCAAGAACTCTTGGTTATTCTTTTGTTATTGAAATTGCTGATAATGTGTGCTGTTTCTTTTGACAAACTTGATTTTGGGTAGAATGGATTCCACTTCCAATTTAACTATCTATCACACCTGTGCTTGTGTGGTGATCTAATTCTGCTAGCTGTTACACTATGGGGATAAGAATAGTGTGCCCTTATTGACATAGTGGCGGTCAATATGTGTCGTGCTGGAGTGAAAGAGTGGCTAGAGTTAACTTTGTTCCTGTAGTTTTGGCTATATGATCTATGGGGATAAGAATACTGTGCCGTATTTACATTTCTGAGAATTTTCTTGCATGTTAATAGAGTCTTTGATATAGAAACTGGCTCGTGCGTATGACTCACACGTATAGTATTCTTGTAACCAGTGTGCAAAGTGAACTTGTTCAATCATCTATGGAACAAAAAGAGATTTATGAGTACTCAAGTGCATAGTGATTGAGATGCTAAGTCATTATTATCTTTTCATGTTTTACTTATTCTATTAACTAGCTTTGTTTTGCCAGCCTTAGTGATGGCCTTTATTTCTATAGTAGTAAAGTTATCAACTTGAGAATCTGTCTAGGGGGATCAAATGCAGAAGTTGTATGCTGTTTGCTATTTGGATGATTTTATGATATCTCAGCTATTCATCCTAGTTTCTTTCTGTCGTATCATATTCTCATTTTGGTGACTTTAACCTCAGTTAGTTACCAGCTGTAACACCTTGAAGTTAGTAGATTAAATTGGTGGTCAAGTTGGTCACTGAATGTGAACTTTTCCTTCTTGTGTCCTTTATCCCTTGCTCATAAAAAACGGATATGCTGTCTACTGTTAGCTTGATGCTAGTGACTAGTGTTCTAAAATCATATTTCACTTTTACTTTGTAAAGTGGAAGACAAACTGCAGTGTGCTGTGAGACTTCATTATTCTTACGTGTGGGGGGCTATTCGCATGGAAATATTGAACATATGAGTGACATTGGATTTATCCTTTCAGTCACTTCAAATAAGGTCCTCCGATATGTCTCACTAGTCAAGTGTTTTGTCTAGCTGCTTGCCATAAGCTCCTCTAGTAAGGTGATGATACCACTTGGTCTTACCAGGAACATGTATTGAAAAGTGTATTTCACTTACCGCAT